GGCCTGTGCCTCTCACAGGATGCAGTTTTGCTTAGCCATTGTCACTGGGACAACCTCTACCTCCTAATTCTGGATTAAATGCTTCTTCATAATGCTCTGCCCAGGGGATCAGATCGTCTTCTTCGGGTGAAATTTGTAATCTACATTTTGTTTTTTAGATACTGTACAGTATATGCACTCTATTATGAAGATCCTTTCAAATGTTGTTACTGATAAAATTCTTGCAAATGGTTATAGAATTTATTATAATTACAAGATAATTTGCCTTATATGATAGGATTGCGTTTATGAAGAGCTTCTTTGGTTTAAGTAATTCTGAGTCATCTCTTGTTTCACACAAGATGACTGATAATCTGTTAATTGCTTTGAACCCATTGTGAACCCATTACTGAACATCATGTAGAATGGAACCAAATCAGAAAACCACTGGCAGAGTTTTGATTTTTTGCTGATGATATGCATAATGTGCAACCGTGCATAATGTTTGTTACTTTATGATAATAATCGGTACTCCTTTCACTTCAAAGAATGCTTAAACTATAAATTTTCTTTGCCAACAATTGTTCTTAGAGCACACAACACTAAGCATTTGCAATTTCAGACAAATGCCATATTTTCCTTGACAACTGTCTTAACACAGCTGGGAATTCCATTGTCTGCTCACCAAAGACAGGGAACTGCTGTCTTGTTTCACTTAACATACTGTATAGCATTTGTCTTGCCAAGAATAAGCTAAATGTTTTGAAGGAAGCATATGAAAAATAGGTCAGTGTTAAGGACAATCCAGCCTTAATTAAACATTAAATCAAATTATTGCAGTATATAAGACATTGAATACTTACTAGATAGACACATGTTTATACATCACTTAAGTGCTGTAAATTAATTAACCAATTCCAACATTACAATTTACAATTCCAACCAATTACAATTTACAATATAAATGCTTCTTTGTGAGCAGGACATTGGGGGTAGAGGATTAGCTTGATATTTTAAATTCCTCAAAACCTTCTTAAACTGATTGATCTTCTATACATTCACTCATTACTGACGTAGTAGAATAAGTAAAACCTCTACCACCTTTTTTGTATTTAAAGGACAAAGTTATGACTGCGGGGAGAAAAATAACTTATCCAGTGTTTTCTAGTGTCCAAATTGTTGGGTGGCATAATAAAATCTGACTTTCAAAGTTCTGATCAATACAAAGCTGCATTTATTTTAAGTGTAATGTTACTCTAATGACCAATTCTAAAATTTGAGAACCTATTGCTCTCCTTTCTATAACATAAGTAGTTAATTTTATCAAAAGCACAACACCCTTTTCCATTTAAGAGCACCAAACTCTTAAAAACAAGATTTCAAAATTTGATCAAAACCATATACTCAGAACAATGCTTGAAAAAGAGGAATTGGTAAGACATTAACTGTTAATTAATTATTTGTACTGTATTTATTAATTGTATGTTTTGTATTTACAGCCTTATTTTCTTCTCTGTAAGTCTATCCAGTAAGCAAAACAAATAATAATATAATCCAAGTTCTGTAACCCACTCGTGGAAGGTAAAACAGGTTAAATTGAGTGAAAGATACCTCATGGAAAAAATGTAAGCTGGTTATATCATGATAAAGAAGTAAAACAATCATGGTGAAACCCATAACCATTAGTGTATGAACATATACACAAAGCATTAAATGGTAAATTCAAAGTAAAGTACTACACAAAACAAAGCAAGTTAAAACAGCATTACAATGCACTACAACACTACAATGCAATAATGAACCTGCAACAGACATCTAAAGACAAGTATGGAAATGTGTAGTCAGAATTAAGACCTCACACAACACCACTATTCACTTGCTGTACGGCTTACAGTCAAGCCAGCATGCTCTTACCTGATCACTGATCAGCAGCTGAGACTTGAAATATGTAAGTTCTCCCTCTGCTTTGGAAAAGAGCACAGCAGCTACTGAAAGTGCCTCTTCTGTTCCTTACCCCACTTCCTAGTTGTCAGAGAGCTTTGCTCCCACCCAAAATCCCATACTCTGAGTCTGAGGAGAGGGAGGAGAGATGAGGGTAGGTGTGTGTAGTGGCAGTGTGACGAGGGGGGGTTTCCTATACTGAGGGGGTTTGCAAAAGATGAAAACAGAAAATGCTTGAAAAAAGCAGCTAATCAGGGTGGAAAGAAGAAAACATAAACACTGAAGGCTGAGATCAAAGGCCCTTCTTGTAGTTGCTTTGGGGACTGCGGGTTTTGACAACATCTTGACTATCACGTTTTAAGGCATTTAGGGTGGTGTGGCCATATCTAGACAGACTGAGGTTCAGCTTGGAGAGAATGAAAACAGATGAAAAGAGATTAATTTGCTGTGCAGTGTCTCTACCTTGGTTCTGAAGAGTTTGTTTTATAGTGTTCGAAAGAAAAAATAAATATATATTTTTTAAATGTCATTGTGTGAATCCCAGTAAAAGCTTGGTTCTCACTACATTGTTTTACCAGTTCAAAACATAAAACCAGGATCAACGGAGGTAAGAAAATGAAATGTTTGTAGAGAACAAATCAAAAGTTTATATAAACTACTGCTACTGCTACACATACTACTACTAATAAGGGATGTTTTGAATGTTTTCCATATGTTCATTGTTTAAGGCATATTTTCCAGTCGATGGGTTGGGGTGACCATCAATGGATGGGGACAAAATTGAAATTACATTAATACAAAACTGGTGTTTGAACAGATAATATTGTTTAAGTTCCTTATAAAGTAGAACAAGAGGGCTGGACATTTTCACATAATGAAATGAATGAATATTTACAGGTGAGTGAGAAGGTTAATGCACTTCCTGGTCCGCTGAGACTCAAAGAGGAGCAAAATGTCAATATTGTGTGGTCTGGGAGGTCAGGGACTTACTTCCCTTGTTTTATGCATCAATAAATTCGGTTCGAATTCTGTTTTGGTTTAGATATTTTAGTCTCCTGCTTATGTGAGTCTATGTATTCTGCCTTATCAAAATGACTCCTAAGCAAATTCCTCCCACTGCCAAAAACAGTAATACATTGAACAATTTCAAAGCTTAATGAGCTACAGTACTGTGTCTGGTTGTCTCATGCCTCTAATTACATAAATTCAATTCCATTAACCTTTTCGTAAAAATAAACAAATATGGACTGTCATGTCGTTGCAGTCCATTATTGTTGTACTGTCGTTAAACATAATGTAATACTAAGAGATTGAACTGTGCTGGAGATAGTGAATTATATTTACTGTAGCAAAGTTTGTTTAAAACCAAACAGCTGCCGGTGTCATTGCGGCTCATCTTTCCAGACACACACACACACGTAAACATACTTAGCTTCTTGTCCCCCTAGCAGTAAAGAGGTTAACGTTACTCCCAGCCTAATTAAAGGTCACCAGGCATCGGAAGATGCTGATTGAGGAACCCCCTTCTTGGCTGACCTTTTCCTTTTATCATTATCAATCACCCTCAGAGAACAGTTTCATTACACACAAAGAACCCTTATGATTTCAGATACCTCTGTGCCACCCTTATTCTCCAGCAACCCCCCCACACACACACACACACACGCGCACTCCTTGACCTCCAAACAAGCGCTCATGTAAAGATGAATTGAATTATGTCTATCTATGTGTGTGGGCGCCCCTGCTTAAAAACAGATATTCAGCTGCAAAAAAATTGGGAACTTCTGAACGTAAATATAAAGATCACCTCCGTTGTTTGACTCCTCTACCTAGTGTATTTAATAAAAGGAGGAATGCTTTGTCAAAGGTATGACTCACAATAGTTTATTCAAAATGCTAATAAGCAAAGGACGCGAAACATAAATTAGATTGAACAAGAACCAAAACCGATTATGTGCTTTTTTCCTTATCAATATACTGTAATATCATTTGACTGTCTTTGCCTTTAGATTTACAGTAACATTACATGTTAAAAATGTAAAAGCCCAGGTTCTTGCCAGTTAAAGTTTTCCAATGTCCTAAAATGAATGGAAACATGGGGGAGAGTATTGGGGGCAATGTGACAGGGAGGAGCAAAAGTGTCACCTCTCTTTATTTTTAGGCTTATTTCTGAATTCTCCACAAATGATAAGTAAAAGCCCTGCTTTAAGTGCTTTATAATACCAAATACTGCTTCTTTGATTGCTAAATATTTGTAAGTGCGGTGAAATACTTTTATTCCTGTATTTCTTTCTTCATCTGATTCTGCACCTAAATTTTAAAATTTTGTAATTATGGGTCTCTTAAAAAAACTAATTTTATAGAACAAAACAGCTCACAAAATCAAGAGTCAAGCACACAGGATTTTTTTTTTCAAGTCACATTAACAAAACGTTGAAAGGATTTGCTAAGAGACTCATTAAAGTTGCAACAACAGCCATTTGACAGCTGACGAGAACAAGGGAAATACAGAGCATGTTTCCTCAGATCCCACGAGCCCATTAAACTGCAATGTTTATTTCACCCGCTAACAAGACAAGTGGATCCAGGTTTTCTCTCTCAGTCAGATAGACAAAGAATAATTACAGGAGATGGCTCATTTCCGCCCCATCTTTGCAATGCCTTACAGTATCATTCAGCATGTACTGTCTTCAAGTTTATTCACAAGGTCAAAAATTCCCCTCTCACCCCCCTCATTGTTTACGGGTCTTAACTTTGTGCTTTGTGTTCTGTAATTTGGCTTCACATTCGTTTCCAAGTAGGTTCCCCTAGCAACGCTTTCAAGTTCTGCGCACTGAAGCAAATAATTTAATCCTTCAACAACCTGTTAATATAGAACAGATTAATGATTAATAAGGATTCAGTCTTGAAATAGTAGCTTTCAGCATTTTCAGCAAAGCACAATACAGTAATGTGAACTATGTGGATTCTTCTAAAGAAAAGCAAATAAGCTTCACAAAATGTAGTGATTTTATACTAAAATAAATAGTTTGAAGAACTGCTTGCTCTGTCTCCCTTCCTATGTCTTCTTTACGACAATTTAATCAGCAATCAAAGATAGTGGCTCTCTGTTCACATTGAATCTTATTTTTAATTACTCAAAACCTGTAACATACTATGATATGTAATATTTTTGGACACCTAGTGTCTTGTAATGTTCTCAAATAATGAGTTAAAACATGGTTAATATGTATAATTGACTTACTGGAAGCCAAGGCTAAATAATGGATCAGTCTACAGTCCACTGTAATATACAGTGTATATTCCTACCAGTATGCCACAGGTGGGACTATAAATTAGGGTCCTTGAATGGGGGATTGTGGGTTCAATCCCAGGTGGGGTGATGCTGCAGTGCACGTGCGCCTTCTCTAAAGATTGCAGAATACTGACATTTGTTCTTCATTTTGATGTTCTCCTTTATATTTATTAATAGAGGGAAAATTATAGAAATAATCTTCAGGATTCCAGTCATATCCAAGTGTCATAATAATAGTTGGACCAAACATCTCAACTGTGATACAAGTTTTGGAAAAGTTTTAGATTCCTTCAAGAGGATATGTGAGGCAAGTTATAGACTCCAATTACATCTGCGCAGAAAACAGATGAAAGGCCGCTATTCAACACCTATAATCAGAGAAGAGGCTAACTGCCTTACAGCTGCTCTTAGATGTGTACAAATAGGTCCTACTGACATAAGCTAGATTTTTAACACTTTTCTTTTGCACTTTGTCATTACCCTTACCTTCTTTATTTCTTCTTTTGAACAAGGGCCAAAACACAGTTAAGTAATTACAAATTGTAGCCCTTTAAACAGTTACGAAGGCACCAGTTATATTAAAATTGTTAAATGTTCATTCAACAATCAATGTACACCCACTAATGTCTCTATTAATTATAACACAAACTAAAGACATAGACTGTATGGTGTATGGGACATTGTTTGATGTAGTTATTATCTGTCAAGGGGAGTTGTTAACATTCTTTAGTGATTAACAGATCTAAAGGGTCCTGTGGTTACACAATTCTCTACCAGCTATGTAGAAACTAGCAATTAGCACTTTCAGCTGTCAAACATGTAACTCAGATGTGCAGAAGCCACAAAAAGATTATAGCAAACACATGTATATAAGATATACAAGATAAACATATACGATAAGATCATTATAAGATAAGATCATTATCTTATCTTGTAATGTATATGAAAATGGAACAGTAAACATAAGCTATAGTGAAACTGAATCAGCTCATAAAACTCTTCTTTTCTTGCACCTACTCAGTTTTTGTAGTGATTCATTCATGTGCAAGTGTGAATGCGTGTGCATGTGGGAGTTTGTGTGCGAGTGTGTGTGTGAGTGTGAGTACATCTGCAAGTGCTTGTGTGAGTGCTTGTGCGAGTGTGTGTGCAAGTGTGAGTAATGTGTGCGAATGCAAGTGGATGTGCGAGTGGGACTGCGTGTGCGAGTGTGTGAGTGCCTGTGTGAGTCCGTGTGCGCAAATGGGTGTGCAAGTGTGAGTGCTTGTGCATGTGCAAGTGTGTGTGAGTGCGTGTGCAAGTGTATGTGAGTGTGAGTGCATGTGAGTGTACTGTGTGTGACTGTGTGTGAGTGATGAGTGTGTATAAGAGTGTGAGTGTTTGTGTGAGTGCGAGTGTGTGTGTGCATGAATGTGAGTGTGAATGTGTGTGCAAGTGTGTGCTTGTGTGAGTGCGGGTGCGTGTATAAGAACTTGTGCATGTGTGAGAGCGCATGTTACTTATCACTTAATAATACTTGATAAAGTAATACTCCAGTGCTAGAAATATACATACCGATGTCAGACTTCTTGGATGAATCCACACACCATTCAACTGCTGCAATTCCAAATCATATTTGCTTTGCATCCAATGGAATGGTCCCCCCTAGCATTTTCAGTTTTAATAGCCTCAGGGCAGATTTCTTAGATGTCACTAAGAAGTATTTCAGCATTGTTTCTACCTTTCTTGCTACTTTTCAGTCAACCACAAACGAACGAGAGGATTATTTCTAGTAGTGAAGTGGAACAAGTATTGGTTCCTCACCTTGTGCTTAAAGGGTTGCCAGTAAATGAGGAAATTAATGAATCAGGAGCAAATTCTGGTGTTTTATATCAAATGTTTCATTCCTCTACAAAGCACTTTAGGTTCCTTGTTGCTAAAACCTAATTGGCATTAAACACATCTTTTGTTCTGATCTGTGACATTTCAGGATTATTAGCATCCCCTTTTAAACCGACGGCTGGTTACCATATTGCCACTTGGAAAAAAATGACTGGTAACTGGAAGCTCCCCAGTCCACTTATTCTTTAAGGTCACCCTAAATTACCTGATATTTAATGATTAGAAACACAGTTGATTAATTAAGGGAATAATGTTTCAGTGAAGGCAACACTGGTCCTTGAAGGCTGAAGGGTTGTTCAATTTGTGTTCAAATGGACTCTTAATTACTTAATTGAACACATTGATTATAAAGCTTGTTGAAAGACCACATATTCTATCAATCCTGCTGGAGCAGGGCTCTCCAGAACCAGGGCTGAAAATGCCAAATTTACTTTTGGTGTACTGTACAGGTAGTGTTTATAGAAAGGTTTTGTTATCTTTCGTTAGTTTTGTCTGTAATAAATGCAAAATATATACTTTATTATAGTTCTTTATTGTATAAATATATCAGTCACTTATAGCTCACAACATTAAGGTACTGTATTTTTCAGTAATGCAGGAATAATCCCTGTTTTTTCTGGTGTACACTTAAAAAATAATAAAATACCAGAACAGACCCAATGCTGGAAGTGCTCAAAAGGGAAAGCAAAACATCCAATTCAGGGGTGGGGAGCTGGGGCCTATCCCATCAAGCAATGTGTGCAAAACATGATATACCCTGGACTGCATGCCAGTCCATAACAGTGTAGGCAAACACTCACACCAGGGCCAGTTTTCCCAGAATCCAATTAACATACAGGTGCTAGTAAGTCCTTAGACTGTGGAAGGAATGCACCTGTTAAAAACCCACGTGAACATGCAAAGAACATACAAACTCCACAAAGATAGTGCCCCAGATCTGGAAATTAATCCAGGGCCCCAGTGCTGTGAAGCAAACATCCTAATGCCTGCAAAACATTCTAGTTTTTGCAGTTTAAACTGTCTCTTTCTAGATCTTCAGTGAGACGTGGATTGTCTGTCTCCTGCCCATGTTCTTGTCATGGACACGGACTGAAATCCGTGTCGGGTCATGTAGTAGACCCTATGCGATGCGGTAAGAGCTGGAGAAAACAGGAGGCGTGGTAAAAAGGAATACACAGGGGTTTAATAGTGCACAAACAAATAGTGACAATCCGTGAGACAGTGAACGGGGAAGACAAAGAATGGGGTCCAAAGGCAGGTCAGGGCACAGTCCGAGAGTCCGTCATCAAGAAATCCATCCTGGGACGCCACAAGGTTAAAATCCGCGAGAGGAGGGAACACACGGAGATACAAAACATGGAGGTCCAGGGGTGACGGGGCGAGATCCTTCAGACCCCGGGCTCAGGAGGTGTCGGGGATGAGGCCTGTGCCCTCAGGAGACGGACTTGGGTTTCCTGGTGCCAGGCGGGCCTCGCGACATCCTTACCCTAATGATGAGCCCCGAGAACTGGAGGAGCTAGTCTTTAAATAATACACCTAAGAAGGTACACCTGGGGAGCTTAATCACAAGGACAATAACGTGAGTAGTGGAGCGCCCTCTAGGGAGGGATGTTGGGTGTGACAGTTCTGAGGTATCTTTTTGGCAGATCCTTTAATGTAGTTTTTTTGTAATCTTGTGACAAAGCCTAATACTTGTGCTAAGGAGAAAAAAGTAATTTCTCGAATAAACAAGCACTTGATGTACTTTTTCATATCCTTTCACTAAAGGCAATAATCATTATTTTTCTCAGATGAAGCATTACAAGATATTGGGTGACTCAGGGCTGTTATTTGTCTAGTGGTTCAGAAGAAAATGTGCTTGGGATCTGTTGTGAAAGACAAACAACACTAGAGAGACACATCTTGCCCTTAGTCATTTGACACAGACCATAATGACCAGACTGTTTTCTGTTCTTTGTGAAATACCACTCAGAAAAACAACAGCTGTCATGTCTGTAGTTTAATTTAAACGATTTGTTCAAGAAAACTAGGAGATTCATGAACACTCACCCCTGAAGACACATGTGTATGTTTTTTGCAGTTCTACAAATGGTGACTGTTTTATTTTTTGAAGCTGATTTTCAAAATGCTTCTCTTTACCAATACAATGCATTCCTAGCTGCATTATAAATATTCAATGGTACGATATAAGACTGATTTTAATGGGTATACAGAGGTAACCACACAATATTAAGAATTCAATGAATACATAAGTTGATCTACCTCCAGTATATTATTTTCCTCCATTTTTTTTAGAAGTTGAGCAACGAACATCCACATACAAATTCATGGAAATTAGTAAGAAGTAAGGCATACAATTTTGGTAACCAAACAATACCAAAACCTAGTAGGAATATGGCAAATTGAAGATCAAATGCTGTAATCCTGTGCACTATACTTGGATTGTAACATCACATAAGGCCATCATTTATAAGGACAGGCAGAACATATACATCTTATATTTCCTTTTGTTTTTTAATTTGTTTTGCCAACAGGCTGTGATACATTTAAATACTTGTGAGCACAGTCACTTGTTGATTTTGATTTTTTTTTAAATGTTACATGCACAAAAAACCTAGACCTAGAATTATCTTCTATATTGATAACGCATGATTAAAATTACCATTATTATTCTTGTTGTTCAGTAATTACATTTACTGTAATTGTTCACATTACAAACCTCCTGGAAGATTTGTTCTTTGTTGCATTTACACTTAAGCAGTGTTATCGTTGTCAAAATAACAGGCTTTTTGTGGAAAAAGATGAACATGTATTAATTGAATAATTAAATGCGGAAATTCATCACATCGACATCTCTTATGCCGAAGTGTAGTCAAATATAATTCCTTATAGGTACTCTTTTTGGATACGGAGTGTTCGGAATGGATTCAGAGTGAATGTTCTACGTTAGAAATGACTTGAGCAAGATGTGTTGAACGATCTTCTCTCATTTGTTGCCTTTCTTCTCTTTCAGCAACGGAAATTTGAAATGAACAGCAAACATTAAATCATACGGACAGTCAGGGCTGCCCCCTACTGGAAGATAAGATAACATTAAGGTCAGAGCATGAAGACGCAAATCAAAACTGAACCAGATTGTTTTATTTATATGTAGTATTAAAACTATGATGATTAATAGGTCATGTAAAAATAGACTAAGTCTTTATTTTTTCAGACAACAGTAAATAGGCAATAGCAACAAGTGGTGTTTTTGTTTGTATTAGCTAAGATGTAAGAAGGTGTTAACCAAGGACACAGAGGACTACAGTGATCTGTGAATATCAAGATTATGCACAAAAATGTAACTTACACAATATAATGTTGAATGCTGAAGTGCGTTTTACCTTTCAAGTAAATAAACGTTGCTGTTTTCTTTTGAGATATGGTACCCAAAGCCATAACTGACCCTTGATCCCAGAGCTGTGAGTCAGCAGTACTAACCACTTCACAATCATGTTGTTCCTTTCTTAGTTCAGCTGATGAATATCAGAAGAATAAGAAAGAACATACAGTAAGAAGAATATACTTTTGACAGCTTGTCTCACCTCCCTAATCTAAGTCTATGATATATTTCGATACTGTATGTTTTATTTCTTTTCTAATCTAGGCTCATGTTGATTCTGAATTTATGACACATTACTACATTGAGCTTCTATACCCTAATCCAATTTACTGCACAGTACTGAACACGTATCTGTTAAATTCATTACATATACAGTATGATGGTATTTCTTGAAGTCCAGATATCCCTGAAAGGTACATGTATATGTCAATTATAGACAAAATGAAGTTTAATTTACTGACAATAATGTTTGATGACCAGAAAAAATGAATTTACCGATTTACAGAAAGCAGCACGTTATTATAAACATAAACAATGTTATTATTGTGCAGTTAAACTATAACCACCGTGTCTTCCTAGATTAACATTCCATAAACATGTATACATATTGCTGCATATAGAGTGGCATGAATTGAACAGTCTATAGTTTGCAGGTTCAAATCCAGGCTCTTTCATTGACTGACCTTGTTCTTGGCTACATAGCGCTGGCTTGATTAAACATGGATGGGAGGACATCCATGGTTCTAAGGCTGGAGCTAGCCATCTCTAAACCAGGAGAACCTGGCCATAGAACATTGACTCCATTTCCCCCTGTTTCCTCAGATTTTAACTCTCAAGCTTAACTTTGTAAAACACCTACTGTATATACAGATATACTGTAGATATAATATCAGAATTGTCTCAAAGCCCATTACGGTACATTCAGTTATAGAGGTTTTGGGGGCTATTTTGCTGCATGTGACATAATACACTATACTGTATGATACTAGTTATTAATTAGTCATTATGTCAATTTACAAGATAATGAATGTTTTGGGGGATGTTTATTTTGACAATTGTTTTCTCTGAGTAAATAAAATGATTTTACCATTGAATGTAAACATCAGAATTTTTAGTTCATCAGAATGAAATTTAATTTGTTGCTCTTACACTACATATACCTTAAACAAATGCAAAAAATAGATTTTCTTAAAAAATAAATTCTAATATCAAATAAAATAATACATATCCATTAATATGTTACTGAATTAAGCTATTTTTCCATGGAAGATCAAAGAACAATTGACAGTGCCCATTTTAATAACTTTCCAAAACTTTATTTTACATTTCAGGGTTTCAGGGTGGAAAGCAAAACATGATAATCAAAAACAAAACACAAAGCTTAATTTGTCCTATGGTGACATAATGTGTGACAAATAGAGTGTGAAATTGCAGAGGCTTTCTGTGTGGCGAATAATTGCTTTTCCGAACTGTGCCAAGGGGTCCAAGTATTTACAATAAATAAGTGGCAATCTCTTGGCAAAAGATTTCTGATGTCCAGCAGCTTTTAAGGTCACGAGGCACACACAGGGGATCTGAGCATCCGAGTTGAGCTTCTTCATATCACAAATTAAAAGAATATCGACATGATGTTGAAAAGGAAAATTTCATTCGTACATGTTGTGCTGTGCCTTTTGTTGGCTGAGCAGCTTCAAGGGCTGATTGAAGAGGAATTCAGTGGACATGAAGATGAGGACTTAAGCCAAGCCATCCTAGAGATGCTTCATATTAACAAGCTCTCAGTACCACAAAGGACCAAGCCTCACCCTTACATGAAATTAGTCTACAAGTTTCTTGACTCAAAGGATGCTAGTGTCTTCTCCAGCTCTGAGGGGACTCTGGTGCAGAGCTTTAGAAGCATACATGGTAGGTATTTTATTTTATTTTTTTCTTGATAAAGCATCCTATTGCATTATGAAGAAAATATGTGTTTGATCTTAAAAAACTTTCTTGTTTTTGTGTTGAATTTACAATTTGTACACTTTATTCTTTTTTTGCAGTGTTATTTAATTTTTAATACATGTATACCATGCCTCCTTTTCCTTCAGCTTTTCCTTCAGCTTCATAAGAAGTCTTTTTGTGAATTAGCCTGTGTAAATCCGTACAGTTCTGTATATCCCAAAGCATTTTGCTGACTGAAAATCAATTGAGGCAAAAGTAATTTGAACTCAACATAATTATCTGAGAACAAAAGACAGCATTACGAAAGAGAGAAACTAAAATCCATAAAAAGATCATTTGAAAGAGTACATGTACTGTACAGTGTATGTCCTCTTGTGGCAATAGTTTAACACATACTGTACCTCATCAAAATTTCCCTATAACAGGATGAAGTTTGAACCCTTTGCATGAGTTTCACAATAACTTTCCTCTGTCTTTTTTTAGATTTAAAATATAGAACTCCTGGCTGGATCTGGTTCAATGTATCCCACCTGAAACCCTCTATGGCCATAGCTGAACTAGTACTTCTTCGCAAAACACTCCATCCACAGCCCCTGAGTGTCAGTATTGCTGTGCACAGCATCTTCTGTAATGCAGACCACCTGACTGTCAGCAACCCCATAGAGGAAAAGGTGCTGTCCCTGGATGAGCCCCCTCCATCTGGGTTCGATGTTTTCAACGTCTCATCCGCGTTGGTCCACAGGGTGGATGACGTGGTGGGATTTCAGTTTCGTTACACAGATGAGAGCGGGAGTTTGGTCTTACATGAGGCCTTGACACAGAGCCTGTATTGCCTCAACTCCAGCTCACAAAATGAGCCTCTGCTCGTCGTCTACCAGGCGCAGCTGGGCAGCGCTCAAGGAGCTCCCTGGGTTCCTGACCGCTTGCAGAGACAGCGCTGCAACGCTGCCAGGAAACGACAGCTACTTCAGCTGCTGGCCACACAGACCTACTCTCCGCAGCACTGCAGACTTCACCAGCGCTACATTGACTTCCACTCTGTCAGTCTGGACTACTGGATATTACAACCTCCTGGGTTTCATGCAACCTTTTGCAGGTAACTGTACTGAAAAGGCCATTAGTAGTTCAGCAGGAGTTTAAAACATATTACATCAGCAAACAAATTAGAAATTGATTTTTAAATCATATACCACATAATCCATTCCAGGACTTAAAGCAAAATCTGTGCAAATTACTTTCACCTGTTTTTTTGTTCTGCAGTATTTATTGTGATCATCATTTTATAACAATATAATGAAGCCAAACAAAGTCTTAGCTCATCAGAATTGTTTGTCCCTGTAATATATTACAGTGTATAGGGACTCATGGTCTGTCCTGTTATGTTGGTTAAGTTTGGTTAACGTAAATGATTAAAGAAACATGTCTCAGTGGGAGAAATGCTAAAGGGATAAAGGGATAAACACTTAGTGATGAAGCAGCACTAAAATAAGGAAAGGCCCCATTCCTAGGCATTAGGAGGCTTTCCAAACAAATCAGTGACAGTGTTTTCACAAACAAATGGGGAACTGAGTTCCCATAAGTGAACTGCATGTGGGTGGTCAAAGAGCACAGAGCAAAGGAATGGTAGAAAGGGTGTTGTTCAGTACACTCAGTAGGTGAGAGAACCCAGGAGACAAGAGGGAACAGAACTTGTCACAAAACATGATTTAACAGAAGAAAAAAAGATACCTGCATAGTACAGAGAGAGGTGTTTTGAATCGCTTGGTGAGAAGAACGATAATCATCAGGAGATGATGCTCCCTGGTAAAATAGAGAATATGGAGAAAGAAGAAAACTATTCAAATGGTGCAAATAGACCGTATACAAGCTCACTTCCCACTACCATACACTGAGGAGATTAGTCTGTCACAACTAATTTAGTTCTAATGTGATTCACAGTGAGATATCTGTAGTATTAGTGATGATTACTGACCCATAGTTCAAATATCTCAGAGCTTGTTATGTCGTAAAGCCAGTAAAACATTATTTGTTTTACAGAGGCCGATACTTCACAAATGTGGAAATCAATGATGCCTCTTTATTTTGCACACAGAATATAAGAACTGTTAACCCTCTTCCTCCCTGCCCTGCAAAAATACAGTAAACTGACCATAAGACTTAAATATGTTGTTACTTCATGTTTTTTAAATTATGCTTTGTTGCCCCACTGTCTTAAAAAATATTCATATAAAATAAGCTCTCAGAGTAAAACTATTTCCCATTACACCATAAAATGTCCAAACTGGGAATATGAGGTGACACTGAGGTGCCTGACTGAGGTGACTATTGTCAGAGGTGTGACTATTCAGTAGCTCGTTAACAAAACCGTCCTGTTGTTCAAAACAGTGGGGTGTTCATCATGGTATCTTGGGTAAATTTTATTTTTGTCTTGCACAATCTGGCATAGCTTTAATTTAATTGATAATGTAATTTCACAATTTTTCACTTGATCTGCTGTTCGCATATAATAAGTGCAATATATCTCCCGAGAGACAGCTGCACCTCAGTGGTGGATGAAGTGGACTCTGTCCTTTATGTGTGATACATTGGAATTCTTTGGGATGAAAAGTTCCATAGAAATGTAGGCAATTATTTATATATATATATAATGTTTTTCTGAATTAAAAAGCCTAAAAGATTATTTGCATCAGAAATGCACCCTTGTTATATACTGTATTTAGAAAATAGTGCTAGTCTACATGAAATTATTTCTTCTAAAAGTTATTTTTTGTTTTGGAATCATGACATTGGTACTGGCTTAATCAAATGTTCTCACGGTTATTGTTTCTGATTTGTTTTTTCTTATTAAGTACAGTATGTGAGACTAAATACAGATTCTAATTGCTTTTGATTGTATTCTATATCACTTTGTCTGCAAAGATATCTGGAGACAGTAGAAGAGGATGTTTTCTCTCTAGATTATTCCAGCACCAAATTCTCAGCCAGTGATTACATCAATAATTAACCTTCCAGGAACTGTGTGTGCTACTGTTGGATCCTGAGTGATTTTGATGGACAGATTAAATGTTTTCATAAGCATAAAGATCTGAAATAAGCTACATAAGCATGTTAACTGAGACAGTTTTCCATGCCTTTCAGGGGTATCTGTCATGTTCCAACATCAATTCAACATGCTGAGGAAAACACAAAGAAGAGATATAAAGGAAATGAAACAGCTAGTAGGTGGGTAGTTTTGAAGTAGGTTTTAATTTAGGATTAACAGCTTTCACAAACACTGTCTGATAAGGGAGAAAAAAAATCATAACATCTCACTTTTTAATTTTTACATTACATACTGTACAGTATGTGTAATCATAAAATACCAAGCTACTCTATTGTCACTAAAACATGCAGTGAAAAATTTTGTTTCTCTTTTTTTCCTTTCAGGCCTGTCTGTATCCCACAAAAGTTATCATCACTGACTGTGATGTACAGAAATGACAGAGGTGACGTCATCATTAAGATCCTCAAGGATATGAAAGCCGAAAACTGTGTCTGCCAGACAAATACTCATTATTAAATACAATAATGGCTGCAATAGTGTGCAATAATTATTACAATAATAATAGCTTGCATGTAGGAACATTGTTTTAAACTGTAAATCACTCTCTGCCACAGTTGTTTTTTAAATCTATATAGATATATATTGTCACGAACAGTTCTTTCTGGGCCCTATGCAGACGACACGATCCGGAATTGTGAGGTAACACTGGGGAAAAAGTCATGCAGAGGTTATGGAGACAGGGGGCGTGTCCAAGGGGTGCAGGTATCTAGGGGGAGTGAGTCCGGGGCGAACGATCTAAGAGAAAATCCAAATGTGTAATCCAAGACAGAAGCAAAGTCCAAGGCCAGGAGATCCATTCAGAGGATTAAAACCATGAACCGGGTCGGGGCCGGCGAAGGGAGGGGAATCAGGAACAGAAGGTTAAGAGCATAACGGAGCCAGACGCAGCAGGACCCCCGGCTCTCATGAAGCGGAATTCAATGAGGAACACCGAATGATGTCAGTGTCTGGCTTTTAAGGGAGAACAGAAATAAGAAGCAGGTGCAGGTAATGGGGCTAAACAAGGAAGGGCTGGAGCGCCCTTAAGAGGAGGATTAGCGATCGTGACATATATAGCCCATCATCTATGATCCAGAATGGGAGATTCTATGTTACTAGCCGACTGTGACCAGAATTCCCTCTGTGGAGGCAAGTGATTGGTTGAGCACCACCTGGGGTAGAGTTGAGATTATCAGCCAATGTTACCTCACCTTCTGGTGAGACAGTAACTCCTGTGGCTGCCTGGGCACCTGCAGTGACCTCAATAAGGGATTTGTCACTCTTCCAATAGGCCATAACTGCTGAAGATTGATTCAGAGTTTAAATTTGAAAAGGGATCCAGCTATCACTATCAACAGCTTATTGTTCTGCTCATACAGTAAGTGATATTCACTGCACCTCTCTAATATAAAGTGATGGAGATAATGCAAGATGTTAGGAGGAGATTGCAACAGGAGGCATTTTTCTCTTCAGTCAAAACCATTCCTAGTGAAATACTGTAACTGCTGTGAAAAAGGGATGGGTGATAATTCAGCAAAATACTTGATTTTCATCTCAGTTATATCTGGACATTAATCACTCCAGGAACACTCTGATAAAAATAAAAACAAATCACACAGTTCTTATAAGACCTAAACTGAACCATAAATCCGAAACTAAACCTTATATATTTTATATAACAAGGATAATTTCCTTACTTATTCTTCATTTACATGTAAAAACTGTATGTCTTCGAGGAAATTTTACTTCCTGCCCATTTACAGTGTTTGATTTGTTGTGCTATTGTATAACCAATCATAATGAACCTTATAATGCCCCTTGAACCGCGTTGTTTCTTTGACTTTGTCTCCCAGTTCTGGTAAAGCTTTCTCATCCCACAAGGGCTATTCTGAGATCTGCTGCTCTGTACATAAAACATGTTACTAAGACACATCTTTTCTTTACATCTTGATTTAATAGATGGTGTAGAGAAAGCCAAATGAATATTGTAAAAAGGGCTGTTGGCTGTTAATTAGGAAACATGAAGGAGGCAGCACAAAAGTCAGGAGTGTAGGTGTGTGTCAGGTGTAGGCAAACTTTTGTTAATAGGAAGTTGCAATGAGCAGGGAAATCTGAAGATGTCAGTTGTAAATTCAAGACATCATGTAACACATTTTAACAATGTTCTGATAACACTTTCTTTTCCAGATCGCAGCTACGCATGTCACTTCCCAGATCAGTGTTTGAGCACACAAAAAAGAGACAGGGTGTTTGATTGTCTTGCTATAGACAGCCTGATTGTGTACTACAAAAAAACAAACCACTCTCATGTGACAAAACATTCAGTGCAAGTATTTGCAAAGTGCTGCCTGAATTCTCGCATGTACTGTGTGTGTATGGTTTCCCACAAATTATATTTAAATGCTTGACTTGATGTGTCAGTGTTTGTGTGTGTCTTTACTGTATATAATCACATTATTATGCCTCCACTGGACTTGATCTTTGGATCGTTGCCTCAACTGAATCTTTGACAGGTGACAGAAGGGCACCAGAAGATGGCCCTATTCACTTAGAGGACAGCAGATGTGTGATGGAAGCAAAAACAGAGCCAGGTATATTATATACTGTATATACCAACAGGCTTTAAATAACCTGTGCCCTGATGTGAGCTTTCATATCAAATGCACTCATGGAAGGCTAAGTATGTTGTGGCTCCTGGTTGTAATATACATTAATCCTGTTACAAGTGAAAGGTTACCAAGTTTGCTGACACCATTTTCATCCACATGGTCTCAGTGTTAATTTGTCAGTAATTACTTTCATTAACCGTTGTTAATGCCTTAGAGGAATTCAATTTAAAATATTCTATTGGCCTTGGATGGCACACTACAATAGTGGTAAATTCTTTAAAAGAAATTTGCACAAAATTTGGAAGGGAAAAACGAAGAAGAAAAATAGATGTATTAAATTATATTGTTCAGATGACCATATATGTCTTTCTTTATTTCTTTATTTTTTTTTACACAGTTAATTACATTGGTGTTACACTGACATCTAAGCAATATCATAGTTTAAACGAGCACTGTTAAGTTACATCAGTAGACTAATACACTGTGTGGTGCCTCCGGGGGAAAGTTTATGTAAATGAAAGAAGTACTCACACCATTCTTTTCTTTCCTGAGTTTCGTGGTGTTTCTTTCTCCAACTATCTTCCAAATACAGTCCGTAATCCGTTCCCTTAATCCTGATCCGATCCAAGTTCCAAAAATCCGTAATAAAGCCAATCCGTGATCCAAAAACCATAAACGTTTTCTCCTTTCAGTAGTCCGTTATTCTTTAGTCCGATCTTTAAAATACTGTACGCCTCTTTCCTCTGTTTTCCTCCAAACCGCATTCACCTTATCGGCTTCCGCCCTGTTCACTTCCTCCGGGGCACTTATTTCGGTTCCTGATGCGGCTCAGCTGTGTCTCATTGTTTCTCAGGGTAGACCCTTTCCATATACAGGTCAGCTGATTCTTTTTGGAAGCCATTTCGCTAAGGTCCATATCTAGTATTTTAAGTAGGTCATTCCGAAAATACCTGTAATGAATTACCCTTCCCCTGGTCATCTTACATACCCTCCCCCTGAGATTCTGTCCATTTTACCTTTTCAGAACAGCTTGTTTTTGTCAAGTCATGCAGACGTGCGGCAATGGAGGCAAATCCTGGAATGAAGCAGCGATAATAACTTGCCAGTCCCAAAAATGTTCGTATCTGCTTTTTCGTAGATGGCTTAGGCCAGTTTTTGATTAACTGTACCTTTCGATCTTGAGGCATAATCATTCCCCTCCCAATCGTATAGACGAGATAATTGGCTTCCTGGGCCCCCAGGCAACATTTATTGGGATTGGCTGTTAATCCTGCTACTCGTAAAGCTCCTGTTACTGCTTCCAGGTGTTGTAGGTGTTGTTCCCAGGTCGTACTATGGATCACAACATCATCTAAGTAGGCGGCCGCAAAATCACGATATGGTCTAAGTATTGGGTCCATTAATCGTTGAAAAGTAGCTGGGGCTCCGTGTAAACCAAACGGTAGGACCCGATACTGGTACAGCCCCTCATGGGTGGCAAAAGCGGTCTTGGCTTTAGCTTCTTCAGCCAGGTACACCTGCCAATACCCCTTCATAAGATTCAGCATACTGATATATCGGCATTACCTAATCGCTCAATTAACTCATCGATACGAGGCATAGGGTATGCATCAAACAACGAGATCTCGTTTAACCTTTTGAAATTATTACAGAATCTAATAGTCCCGTCCGGCTTTGGTATCAAAACTATAGGACTAGCCCACTCGCTATGGGATTCCTCTATTATTCCCATACTTAAAATTTTTTCTACCTCTTCTTTAATTAATTTCCTTTTGGCTTCCGGTATTCGACAGGGAGGCAATCTTACCCTTTTCCCTGGTTCTGTAATAATCTTATGCTGGATGAAGTGAGTTCGACCCAGTGTCCTTGAAAAAACATTTTTGTTCTGCGATAGGAATTCTTGTAATTCTTGCTTCTGTGGCGGAGCCAGGTCCCCCTACAGCACCTGTTTCTTCTTCCAAAGGGTCAGGGGAGAAGTGGGTGAGCAGTACTTCTGCTCCATGCCATTTTTTAAATAAATTGACATGGTAGATCTGGTGCGGATGCCGTTTGTCATGTCACTTGACTTTGTAGTTGACTGGACCCACCTTTTCAACCACCTCCCTGCCAGGAAGCCAGGAATTTACATTCTGGGGTTGGAACCAATACTAAAACTTTGTCCCCAGGCTGAAATTCTCGTACAATTGCTCCCCTATTGTAAATCTGCTTTTGCTTGGCCTGGGCTTTTTCCAGGTTTTCTTTCACAATGGGCACAACAATGTTGATTCTTTCTCTCATTTGTTCGACATGTTCGATGACAGTCTGGAAAAGTGAAGGCTGATGATCCCAAGATTCTTTAACCAGATCTAAGGCCACGTGGTCTCCGAGCGTATAGTAACTCAAAGGGAGAAAACCCGGTCGAGGCCTGTGGTACTTCTCGAATCGCAAACATTAGATAAGGGAGCAGTTGATCCCAATTTTTACCATCTTTCTGCATGGCCTTCCTCAGCAGGCCTTTGATGGTCTTATCAATACGTTCCACCAGTCCATCTGTTTGTGGGTGATATACCGAGGTTCTGATCTGATGAATTCCCAATAGTTTACTTAAGTCTTGCATGACTTTGGACATAAAAGTAGTTCCCTGATCTGTTAAGATCTCCTTGGGGATTCCCACCCTAGAAAAAACCTGTACTAGCTCCCTAGCTATATTTTGGCGGTGGCGGCTCTCAGGGGAATGGCTTCGGGGTACCTTGTGGCGTAGTCCACTATTACCAGTATATACTGATGTCCTTTGGCGGTTCTGATCAGGGGTCCCACCAAATCCATCCCAATCCGTTCAAACGGAGTTTCAATAATTGGGAGAGGAATCAAAGGATTCCTATAATAAGGTTG